CGATCTCGGCTCACCGCAACCTCCGCCTCCTGGGTTCAGGCAATTCTCCTGCCTCAGCCTCCTGAGTAGCTGGGATTACAGGCACGTGCCACCATGCCCAGCTAATTTTTTGTATTTTTAGTAGAGACGGGGTTTCACCGTGTTGACCAGGATGGTCTCGATCTCTTGACCTCGCGATCCACCCGCCCCGGCCTCCCAAAGTGCTGGGATTACAGGCGTGAGCCACCGCGCCCGGCCACGCCCTTTCTCTTAAACCCTTTCCACTAACTCTGGGCTGGTGCCTCAAAGCATACCTCAGGCTCCGCCCCCTGCATTTTGACCCTGCCCACTTCAGGCCACGCCCTTCGCTTGAGACCCACCCCTTCCTTCTCCGCTTTACTCTTGCCTCTCCATCAAAGCCCTCCTCCCCCATATCCCGAGGCTCTCTCCCTCTGAGGCACCAAGCCTCAAAGATACCACGCCCCACCCCCAGGACCTTGCACAGACACGTGTCCAACAGCTGCGCGCAGAGAAGCTCTGGGGCCAGGCCCAGGCGGAGACGCGAAGCCACCATTCCCGCCAGGGCAGCACCAGACATAGTGTCCCAGACGCCATCAGAGGCCAGGAGCATGAACTCGTCCTCCGCCTGGCGTACCAGTGCGGTCACCTCAGGCTCCGCAGAAACGAGTTGTAGCTCGGGGGGCCTCCCTGGAGCCTGCTTGTAGGCAAAATCGCCCAACGCTCGCGACACCGCCAAAGAGCCCTCGACGCGCCGGCGGCGGATGGTGCCGCCCGCGGCATGGATGCGCTCGCGTTCCCGAGGTCGAAGGGGCCGGTGGTCCTCGGTGCTGAAGGCCACGGCGCCGGCGCGGCTCAGCACGGCGCGGGAGTCACCGCAGTGCGCCAGGTACAGGAACCGCGGGGAGACCAGCAATGCCACGGCCGTGGAGCCGCCCGTTTCCACGTGGGGCCAGAGGGAGCGCAGGCGCTCGTCGGCGCTCAAGAAGGCTCGGCGCAACGCCTCGCGCACGCCCTCGGGCTCGCCAGGCTCCGGGCCCAGCTCCTCGAGCACATGGCCTGGCAAGTGGCGTGCACCGAAGCGGGCAGCTCGAGCCCCACCGTGGCCGTCGAGGACGGCAAAGAAGGCCCAGCCTGGGGGCAGACCAGGTAACGAAAGCCAAGTGCAGTGAGCGTCCTCCATGCGCGCGCGCCAGCCCTGCGCTGCGCTCGCCCCAAAGCGCAGGCCCCACGACGCCGCGGCACCCCCGTGCGGCTGCTGGGCGCGCCGCGGCGCTGTCAGCAGAGACCGAGGCCCATCGGGGGCCCTGCGCCCCGCCTCCGCCTCCTCCTCCTCCTCCTCCTCCTCCGCTTCCTTCTCCCACTCTTTTTTCTTGCAAGCGGTCCAGAGGAGACTCTGCAGCTGACGAGCCAGGGCCGCCATCCTTCAGCCCTGGGATCAGGAGGGCTCCACCCTGCACACCTGCCCGCCCCCCTCCATTAATCCCCTCGGCTGTGAGATTTTAAACCACCTAAATCTCCTTCCTGTCCTTTGACCTGCACTTTAGGCGGGTTACTGGAAGGAATTTAACTTCTGGGTCTCCTCTCTCCTGCACCTGCACCTACAAAGCGAGGTTTGGGATCTGGATTAGGGAAAAAAAAAAGGTAATACTGTACCAGTAGCAAACTATTACGTAGCACTCATCATGTGTCACACAGTTATACATCATCATCTCCAGTTTACAGATGGAAGAAGAAACGGAGTCACAGAAGTAACCGGTGTTCCAGGGAAATTAACTCTAGAATCTGTGTTCTCAACACAACACGCAGTCCAAGCTCCTCCCACCTCAGTGGTACAGTCCCCAGCCTCAAAACCTGTAAATACTATACTTGGCTGAGCGCATGGCTCATGCCTGTAACCCCATCACTTAGGGAGGCCGAGGCAGGCGGATCGCTTAAGCCCAGGAGTTTGAGACCAGCCTGGGAAAGAGCGAGACCCCGTCTCTACAAAAATTAAAATTTAGCCAGGCGTGGTGGAATGCGCCTGTGATACCAGCTACTCGGATGACTTAGGTGGGAGGATCACCTGAGCCCGGGAGGTCGAGGCCGTGATCGCACCATTGCACTCTATCCAGCCTAGGCGACAGAGCGACACCCTGTCTGAAAAAGCTATATATATATTTGTTTTTTCTTTACTCTTTTTAGTTCGACCCCTCCTCTCTGGGGCTTTGGTTATTTTCTCTTCTGGACCCCACCCATCCAGGGTTCAAGCACACAGCTCCAGACCCGTCTAATTTTCGGAGACCTGGCATCGCCTGGAGTTCTGACCCCACCTAGTCATATTTGAATAATTCCCAGTTGCTTTAGCCTCGCCCATGTTTGAGCTCCTACGCGTGCTTCAAAAGTTTCTGAATCGTTTCTTTCGGCCCCCTTTCTCGCTCCCTCTGCAAATCTAGGCTTCTACCCTACCTCAGAGCATTAGAATGTTTCCACCCCCTCCTCAATGGCACCCCTAGCTCCGCCCCAACCCACTCAGGGATCCACCCTCCCATCCTCTTTGCCAAGGCTCCTTCACCATTCTCTCCTAAGTCCCTCGTCCGACTCCAGGCCTCCGCCCCTCTTCCCCTAAAGGCTGCGCCCTGTGCGGTCTAGGCCCCGCCCTTCAGGCCTCTTTTCACTCCTTCCTGATCCCGTAGCCCACCCTTGTGGCTCCGCCCCTTTAGTAAGTAGGCCACGCCCTCCGTCTGCTCCTCGGCGTTTCCCCGCCCCTCGCCTGCCCTCTGGCCACGCCCCTTCCCTCCTCTGGCCACGCCCCGGTCGCGCGCTGCAGTGCCTTCCCCACCGCGGCCCCGCCCGCCCCCGCCGAGCCGAGCACAGGGCGGCGGCGGCGGCGGCGGCGGCGGCTGGAGCGGCCCGGGAGGAGGAGGTGGCGAGGATGGCAGCGGCGTCGTGGGCGCGGCGGAGATGAGCGCCTGCGACCCCGGGCCCAGGGCGGCGCAGCCGAAGTGGGCTGGGGTCCCGATGCAGGCCCGAGGGGGGCCATGGGGCAGGTCCTGCCGGTCTTCGCCCACTGCAGTGAGTAGAGGGAGGCTCGGGCCTGGTGTGGGGCCCAGAGGTCTGGGTGGGGTACTCCCTGGTGTCCCCTCGGCGCTTGCCTGCAGGAGAGCCGGGATTGGGGGGAGGAGGCAAAGGAGACAAAGGAAACTCTCCCCTCCCCCCCGCTCTGGCGGTGACGGGGGCAGCCTGACCCAGAGGACCTGGACGAAACAGGGCGGAGGTGGGGGGCACTGAGAAGGCAGGCGGGGGGTGCGCTGCGCTCTGGGACGTACCGCCCGGCCCCGCCCGGGAACGAGGACGTGCGCGGGGAGCTGTCCCTGGGCTCTGGTGCTGGCCGCAGCTGGCGGGGAGGGATTGAACAGAGGGTAAAGCCAGGATGGAAAAGAGGGGTCTGACTCCCCATCGCTCGTCTTCTCATCCCATCCTCGTTTTCTGCCCAAGAGGCAGCCCCGACCTCGCCCAAACTGTCCAACCCCCTGTGCCGGGAAAATAGCCATCGGTGGGTTGGGGGCAAGGACTGATGTGTCCGTAGCGGGGTTTACCACTGATACTGGTAATCCTGGGGAAGACTGGCACCACTCCAGGCCTCCCATTCCCCAGCTGAGGAAACGAGGTGAGGGCACAGGGTGTCAGATTTCAATTTCCAAACCGCATTGAGCATCATCTATGTGCAAAGCGCTGAACTAGCTCTAAGGGGCTGGATTCCCAGCTGAAAACGCCTGGCCTGATCCTCACAATCTCTGAGCTCACAGCTCTAACAGTTCATGTCTGCCGTTCTCTGTCCCACACATGGGTGTTCTGACAGCTGGGAATTTCAACACCCTTAGATCTAGCCACTTTCGTGTCTTGGGTGTCCAGATGCCAAAATTCTAAGAATTGGTGATTTCAGCATTTTCGAGTATCATCTCAACATGCTAAGATCTTGTCCTTACTTCAGCTTACAAAGGGAGGGCCATCTCATCTGTCTCTCTCCACCTCTCTTACCTCTCTGCCCTCACTTCCCAACCCTTTCCTCCTCATTCACGCCTCTCCAATCACATCTTCACACCTCTCTGTTCCTCAAAGATGCCAAGCATGATGCCTGATTCAGGGCCTTTGCATTGGCTTCCTTCTCTACCTGGAAGACTTCCCTGAACATCTGCAGGGCTTCCTCACTTCCTTCAGATCTCTGCTCAAACTTTGTCTTATCAGAGAAGCCTTCCTGACCACCCTATGAGAAACAGCACTGCTTCACTTTCTTCACTTTATCTTCCCCTACCTTTCTTTACTTTGCACCCTAGGCTCATCTGCACCTGACATCATATAATCACTTGTTTATTGTCTGTCTCTCCCAAAGAGTGTCAGCTCTAGGAGGGCAGGGATTTTGTCTGTTTTGTTCACAGCTGTATCTCCAGGACCTAGAACAGTGCCTGGCACATAGTGGTGCTCAATAAATGGTTGTTGAACGAATAAGTGAATTGAAACCTCCTAAGATTCCTACTTTGAAGACTAAGATTCCCGGATTTGGACTTCTAAGACTCTAAGCTTCACCAGGCAGTGATGCTAGGTTTTAAAGTCTGTGTGCAGAATGTTCTAAAAGTCCCGTGATTCAAATATTCTAAGATTCCAGGACTGGCACACTTCTGTGATTCGGACAGTCTAAGCTTCTAAGAGTCTTCGATTCTTTCCCTCTCGCAGAAGAAGCTCCGTCTACAGCCTCATCAACCCCTGATTCCACAGAAGGTAAGTGGAGGAGAGCATGTGAAGGGATTCAGGGGTGGGCAGCTTAGGGGCCTGCTGAGAGAAACAAGGTTCTCCCTCACCTGCTGCAGGAGGGAACGACGACTCCGATTTTCGGGAGCTGCACACAGCCCGGGAATTCTCAGAGGACGACGAGGAGGAGACTACGTCGCAGGACTGGGGCACCCCCCGGGAGCTGACCTTCTCCTACATCGCCTTCGATGGCGTAGTGGGTTCTGGAGGTCGCAGGGATTCAACTGCCCGCCGCCCCCGCCCCCAGGGCCGCTCAGTCTCGGAACCACGAGACCAGCACCCTCAGCCCAGCCTGGGCGACAGCTTGGAGAGCATCCCCAGCCTGAGCCAATCCCCGGAGCCTGGACGCCGGGGTGACCCTGACACCGCTCCTCCATCCGAGCGCCCTGTGGAAGACCTGAGGCTTCGGTTGGACCAGCTGGGCTGGGTGGCAGCCCGGGGAGTGGGATCTGGGGAGGACTCTTCCACCAGCAGCTCTACCCCGCTGGAAGACGAAGAACCGGAAGAACCTGACGGATTGGAGGCGGGAGAAGCTGGGGAAGGTGAGATGTCCGAGGTGCTGGGACTGAAGTCAAGAGGGGTGGGTGGTTTCTTCTCAGGGCACCTCCAAGAAGGAAGCTCACAGCCTTCTCTTTCTACCGTGCCAGAACTGGACCTACGACTCCAACTTGCTCAGCCGTCACTGCCCGAGGTCTTGACTCCCCAGCTCAGTCCGGGCTCTGGGACACCCCAGGCAGGAACTCCATCCCCATCCCGATCGCGAGATTCGAACTCTGGGCCTGAAGAGCCCTTGCTGGAGGAGGAAGAAAAGCAACGGGGGCCACTGGAGCGAGAGCCAATAAAGGGACAGTGTCTCGATAGCACGGACCAATCAGAATTCACAGTGGAGCCACGCCTTCTAGGTAAGCAACATGTATGAAGATGCTGTATTGGACCACAGGACGCAAAGGGTGAGAGGATTTTGAATTAAAGGGACAAATCTCGCAAGGAACAGCAGATAGTGGAGAAGGGCGGAGGTATTACTATTGGCTAGATGTGATAAACTCTGCCCTTTTAAAAAATTTCCCCGGTCAGGCAAGTTGGCTCGCTCCTGTAATCTCAGCATTTTAGGAGCCCGAGGCGAGCGGACCACTTGAGGTGAGGAGTGTGAGATCAGCCTGGCCAACATGGTGAAATCCAGTCTCTATTCGGGAGGCTGAGGCAGGAGAATCGCTTGAACCAGGAAAGTGGAGGTTGCAGTGAGCGGAGATCGTGCCACTGCACTCCAGCCTGGGTGACAGAGTGAGACACCGTTTCAAAAAATAAAAATAAAATAATTTTCCCTCTTCTGGAGTGCTCCTCCTAGTGGCTGATTTTGGACAGGCCAAATCCCTGAAGAAATACAGTTCTCTCCTTATTTAGATGTGACCGTAAAATATTTATTTATTTATTTATTTATTTATTTTTATTATTATTATTTTTTTTTGAGACGGAGTTTCACTCATGTTACCCAGGCTGGAGTGCAATGGCTCGATCTCGGCTCACCGCAACCTCCGCCTCCTGGGTTCAGGCAATTCTCCTGCCTCAGCCTCCTGAGTAGCTGGGATTACAGGCACGCACCACCATGCCCAGCTAATTTTTTGTATTTTTAGTAGAGACGGGGTTTCACCATGTTGACCAGGATGGTCTCGATCTCTTGACCTCGTGATCCACCCGCCTCGGCCTCCCAAAGTGCTGGGATTACAGGCTTGAGCCACCGCTCCCGGCCGTAAAATATTTATAACTAAACTGTGTGCTTTTTAAAAACTCTTCTTTTTGGCCGGGCACAGTGGCTCATGCCTGTAATCCTAACACTTTGGGAAGCCGAGGCAGGAGGATCCCTTGAAGCCAGAAGTGCAAGACCAGCCTGGGCAACACAGGGAGGCTCTACCTCTATTTGAAAAAAGAAAACAGCCGGGCGCGGTGGCTCATGCCTGTAATCCCAGCATTTTGGGAGGCTGAGGCGGGTGGATCACCTGAGGTCAGGAGTTCGAGACCAGCCTGACCAACATGGAGAAACCCCATCTCCACCAAAAATATAAAATTAGCCCGGTGTGGTGGCGCATGCCTGTAATCCCAGCTACTCGGGAGGCTGAGGCAGGAGAATCGCATGAACCCGGGAGGCGGAGGTTGCGGTGAGCCGAGA